CCACCAGCAGAGACTGTACAGGCGGGCGTCATGGCTGGCGTCCCCCTGGCGGGAGCCTGCAGATAGACTCACAACCCCAGGGGGATGGACAGCGTGGGTACCCGTGTAAAGTCTGCTTGGTCTGTGGTGGAAACCCCCTTACCTGTTTATTGCTAAGGTTGTTCATGAGCAGATAAACATGAGTTACACTTGAGTGAGATCGGTAATGGTATAGAAATTGGTATATAGAGACCTTTGCATGAATGGGTGGGTGGGAGGTCTGCTGAGACGATGTGTATCGTACGGTGCGGCAAAATGAACTGATGCTTGAAGAGGATGCGAGCAAGGATAAGCGAATGAACAGTCTGGTGTTAATTAATGTAAATCCGACTGAAGGCCGAAATGTGAGCAAATATTGCATGAAGTACAATGTGGCATGGGAGGTGTCAAAATATGAAAGGGGGATGTCAGCTTGGTCAATGCATGTCATAATTGAGCATTAACACAGATTATAAATTATATTCATAATCATACTATTAATGCTTCAATAAATGACACAAGACACAAGGTTTTGGCAAAAGTGGAAGGGGGAGCGAATTGCAGACGCAGGCGTCGCAGCGAACAGCTCCATGATGCGACTCGCCTGTGAATTGCATCATGACGCCGAGCGCGTGGTACCTGGTTGCAACCTTCCACCAGCAGAGACTGTACAGGCGGGCGTCATGGCTGGCGTCCCCCTGGCGGGAGCCTGCAGATAGACTCACAACCCCAGGGGGATGGACAGCGTGGGTACCCGTGTAAAGTCTGCTTGGTCTGTGGTGGAAACCCCCAAATTTAAAGGCAGGATGATGTGTTACAAAGTCTATCGCGATAGGATAACACAAAGCATGGTTAGACCGATGAAACATTAAACTAAATACACTGCAAATACATGTAACGAAAACGAAATGAAGTCTCAAGACAAATGTCGAAATTACAGTTAAGGAAGAGCAAGTGACAAGTGACCCGGAACTGAGCGGATGATGCTGGGGGGTGTGCGAATGTACGTTTGGTAGGCGTCGCTGCGCCACCTGCCCAGTGCCTTGATCAACCAGTCCGGAAGATTTGCGTCGGCAGCTGTCGTGGCTGCACCACTGCGGAAACTGTGAGTAGTGTAACGGTTAACATCTGGTACAGATGCGCGAGTGAGAAGGTCTCGAATGTGGTTGCTAACAGCTTGCCGCGTGAGGAAATTACTGTTGGCGAACTGGAATGCGGGTAGGTGAGCGACGGAACTATGTAGTGCTTTGTACGCCTGGTATGCCTGCACAGCGCAGACCGATGACTGTGAGGGTGCGATGATGATGTTACATCCCCGGCGGAATGGGTCTGTCTTAGACGCCTTGAGCGCAATGACGAGGTCTGTGTTGCACGTGATGTCTGCCGTCAGTAAAGTGCGTTGTGGATCGAAGGTCATTGACGTGGGTGCGACAAATTCGCTGACTCTCAAGAAGCCGAAGAACGCCAGTGTAAAGGCAGACCACAGCATAGCTTTGTCATGGTTGCAAATAGTGGGATGGTTTGCGACGGTGTTCTGAAGCATTCGCATTAGTGCAATGGTGATTGGGAGTTTTACACGATTTGGCACGCCGTGATGTCTTTTAATGCCTTGCATAGTGAAGTGAAGCAGGAGGTCGTCGCGTATTGATGAGGTGAAGCCAGCTTCGATGTGTGCACGGATGATAGCTGCGAGGTAAACTTTTAGCGTGCCATAGGTAAGTGACGATGTTGCGAGATGTGTCATAAACAGAATCGTTGAGCGTTGCGTTAGTGGATAAGGATTCATTCCATACATGCGACAGAAGAGAAGATAGCGAGTTTGTCCCGCATGATATGTCCGTCGTGTACCTGGTGCAATGCTCAGGTTGATGTAGTGGCAGGCTTGTTGTGTGAGGTTGACGGGACTACGTCGCACATCGGAGCCGTTAAGAGGGTGCACAGGTCCGGAGTTTTGGTTGGGACCCTGTCTGCCTGAGGTGCCAGTCGTTGAAACCGCAATATCTGTTGGCGAGAGAGAGAGTCAGCGATATCGTTATTAAACCCTGAGATATGTGAGATCATGACGTGAAAGTTATTAGATGCTGCAGTGAAGAACAGCAGTCGGACAAGTTGCATGATCCGTGGACATGATGAGGAGCCTTTTTTCCATATTTGGACAACTGATATGTTATCGCAGTGAAACCGTATTCGAAGACCATACCACAAGTGGCCCCAAATTAAGGAAGATAGTAGAATTGGTAGAAGTTCCTTCCAGGCAATAGAGTATAAAGGGTCATTTGTAATGAATGTAGGCCAGGTGTTTGCGAACCAATGACCCTTGTAGAATGCCCCGTAGCCAAGTGTTGCTGAGGCGTCTGTAAACAGTTCGAATTCTGGGGACGGTATCCAGTTTGGGTTGAGGAGGGATGCTGTGCCGTTCCAAGATGGCAAGAAGTCACACCACCATTGAACGTCGTGCCAGAATTCGTCAGTGAGTGTTATGACTTGAGAAAGACTGGTGGCTGTCATGCTGATATCAATCATGCGCCTCAGGAAGATGCGGCCGGCTGGTATGCACTTACATGCGAAACTGAGGCATCCAATGAGGGAGAGCAATTCACGTTTCGAGCATGTATGGCGAGTCAACCAGCTTGGCAGCTTGACAAGTAGATCCGCAAGCTTGTCCTTAGGTAGTCTAATAACCATGTTGACAGTGTCAAGCTCCACCCCTAGAAAGGTGATGACAGAGCAGGGACCCTCAACCTTTTCTGTAGCAATGGGTACCCCCAAGTGGTGACAACTTTGCAGCATAACATCCATATTGTGCTGGCAGGCGTTAGTGTTTGCCGGTCCAACTGTCAGGAAATCGTCTAGGTAGTGTAGAAAATCCGTATTCCTTGCGCGATGACTAACGATCCAGTGAATGGCATCAGCAATGCGGTTGAAGAGGTATGGTGCTGAGCGAAGCCCAAATGGCAGCACACGGTCGAAGAAATAGCATCCTTCCCAAAAAAACCCGAGCAGGTGCCAGTCTTCCTTCCGAACTGGGCATAAGCGAAATGCGTGTTTAACATCGATTTTTGCGAGTAAGGAGCCATGGCCATGCTTGTGAATGAAGGCTACAGCATCATCGATGCGTGAGTAGACCAATGAATGATCTTCTTTTGAGATATTGTCATTGACGCTGTCAAGTGTAGGTTGGGAGAGATCCATGATAATGCGAAAACCCCCACTTTTCTTAGGCCGTAGGCCAAGAGAATTACAAAGTTTTTGAGGGGAGGACGCTTAAATGGTCCGATAGTGTGACCAAGTTTGAGTTCTTTTTGGATTGATTCTGTGATGATAGAGGGGTTGATGCGAGCGGACTTGGCGTTGCGTGTAGATCTTGGGTAGTGCTTGCCGCGAAATCCAAGGTTAGCCCCATGAGAAATGTCAAATAAAATGGCTGCTACGAATGATTTGTCCGGGTGATCGTGCAGTTCTTGCGCAAAGGAATCGAGCTTAAGAGGTGTGCTTGGGTGCATATTTTCGACCACGTGAGCTGGCATGATCATTGGCGTGAAAGGGTCGTGGTGTGTAGCCACGAAAAAGCTGGTTTTTCGTCTCGGTATCGCGGTGGCTAATGGCAGTGTGGCCTGCAGAGTGGCAAGACGAACAAATGTGGAGACGATTATACCGGCATGGAGTTTCGCAGCGATCTTGATTGAAATTACGGCACACTGTATTGTTATAATTGTCAGCAGATTCGTTCACCCATGTATAAGGATTCCTGCTTCGTTGGCATTCCTGTTTGGTATGACCTTTCTGATGACAGTCAGGACATGTTGGAATGAGCAGATGGAGTTTTTGTTGACAGAATTTGTAGTCAAGTTGGTTGTTAGGCAAACTCCAGTTCCGTAGGCCAGGGTAACGTGAGTAATCTAGACGGAATTCTTTGTCATAGGTGACCCATGCTTCTGGCTTGAACTCAAGAGCTCGGCTGGCGATGTGACGCTGGTAATTGAATAAATGTACAGCCTCATGGGGAAAATAATGTGCCCTATAGGCAGCAAATGTTGACCAACATTCCAGCCAGTTTGCTAAATCGCGAATTTCATTCTTTTTTGCATGTTTTGAGAGAACAGCGACTGAGGGATCGTCAGAGTCCAAAGCCACTCGGGTGTTTGAGATCTGGGTGGCATTTGGTTTTCTTGAGTCAGGGTGTAAATCGGACAAATCAACAAACTTACCCCGGTTTGCTAGTTGATTGAGTATTTGCTGGTCGACGTATGGTAAAAACAAGTCTGCAGGTGGGATGATAGGAGGAACTGCAATGCTGGCATTGTTCATCATCGGCATCGCCTGTGTCGCAGTGTTGATACCGGAAGCGGAAGTGAGAATGCCCTCACCGGCGAAACGTTGTATGGGAGCGGCCATGTTGGTTGCGTTGAAATGACCCCCGGTAGCAAAACTTTGTTGACTAGGATTAGCGTGAGCTAGCGATGCTTGAAGAGGATGCGAGCACGGATAAGCGAATGAACAGTCTGGTGTTAATTAATGTAAATCCGACTGAAGGACGAAATGTGAGCAAATATTGCATGAAGTACAATGTGGCATGGGAGGTGTCAAAATATGAAAGGGGGATGTCAGCTTGGTCAATGCATGTCATAATTGAGCATTAACACAGATTATAAATTATATTCATAATCATACTATTAATGCTTCAATAAATGACAAAAGACACAAGGTTTGGCAAAAGTGGAAGGGGGAGCGAATTGCAGACGCAGGCGTCGCAGCGAACAGCTCCATGATGCGACTCGCCTGTGAATTGCATCATGACGCCGAGCGCGTGGTACCTGGTTGCAACCTTCCACCAGCAGAGACTGTACAGGCGGGCGTCATGGCTGGCGTCCCCCTGGCGGGAGCCTGCAGATAGACTCACAACCCCAGGGGGATGGACAGCGTGGGTACCCGTGTAAAGTCTGCTTGGTCTGTGGTGGAAACCCCCAAATTTAAAGGCAGGATGATGTGTTACAAAGTCTATCGCGATAGGATAAAACAAAGCATGGTTAGACCGATAAAACATTAAACTAAATACACTGCAAATACATGTAACGAAAACGAAATGAAATCTCAAGACAAATGTCGAAATTACAGTTAAGGAAGAGCAAGTGACAAGTGACCCGGAACTGAGCGGATGATGCTGGGGGTGTGCGAATGTACGTCTGGTAGGCGTCACTGCGCCACCTGCCCAGTGCCTTGATCAACCAGTCCGGAAGATTTGCGTCGGCAGCTGTCGTGGCTGCACCACTGCGGAAACTATGAGTAGTGTAACAGTTAACATCTGGTACAGATGCGCGAGTGAGAAGGTCTCGAATGTGGTTGCTAACAGCTTGCCGCGTGAGGAAATTACTGTTGGCGAACTGGAATGCGGGTAGGTGAGCGACGGAACTATGTAGTGCTTTGTACGCCTGGTATGCCTGCACAGCGCAGACCGATGACTGTGAGGGTGCGATGATGATGTTACATCCCCGGCGGAATGGGTCTGTCTTAGACGCCTTGAGCGCAATGACGAGGTCTGTGTTGCACGTGATGTCTGCCGTCAGTAAAGTGCGTTGTGGATCGAAAGTCATTGACGTGGGTGCGACAAATTCGCTGACTCTCAAGAAAGCCGAAGGAACGCCAGTGTAAAGGCAGACCACAACATAGCTTGTCATGGTCGCAAATAGTGGGATGGTTTGCGACAGTGTCCTTAAGAATTCGCATCAGTGCAATGGTGATTGGGAGTTTACACGATTTGGCACGCCGTGATGTCTTTTAATGCCTTGCATAGTGAAGTGAAGCAGGAGGTCGTCGCGTATTGATGAGGTGAAGCCAGTTTCGATGTGTGCACGGATGATAGCTGCGAGGTAAACTTTTAGCGTACCATAGGTAAGTGACGACGTTGCGAGATGTGTCATAAACAGAATCGTTGAGCATTGCGTTAGTGGATAAGGATTCATTCCATACATGCGACAGAAGAGAAGATAGTGAGTTTGTCCCGCATGATATGTCTGTCGTGTACCTGGTGCAATGCTCAGGTTGATGTAGTGGCAGGCTTGTTGTGTGAGGTTGACGGGACTACGTCGCACATCGGAGCCGTTGAGAGGGTGCACAGGTCTGGAGTTTTGGTTGGGACCCAACATGAAAGTTATTAGATGCTGCAGTAAAGAACAGCAGTCGGACAAGTTGCATAATCCGTGGACATGATGAGGAGCCTTTTTTCCATATTTGGATGACTGATATGTTATCACAGTGAAACCGTACTCGAAGACCATACCACAAGTGGCCCCAAATTAAGGAAGATGGTTTTTCGTCTTGGTATCGCGGTGGCTAGTGGCAGTGTGGCCTGCAGAGTGGCAAGACGAACAAATGTGGAGACGATTATACCGGCATGAAGTTTCGCAGCGATCTTGATTGAAATTACGGCATGCTATATTGTTATAATTGTCAGCAGATTCGTTCACCCATGTATAAGGATTCCTGCTTCGTTGGCATTCCTGTTTGGTATGACCTTTTTGATGACAGTCAGGACATGTTGGAATGAGCAGAATTTGTAATCAAGTTGGTTGTTTGGCAAACTCCAGTTCCGTAGGCCAGGGTAACGTGAGTAATCTAGACGGAATTCTTTGTCATAGGTGACCCATGCTTCTGGCTTGAACTCAAGAGCTCGGCTGGCGATGTGACGCTGGTAGTTGAATAGATGTACAGCCTCATGGGGAAAATAATGTGCCCTATAGGCAGCAAATGTGACCAACATTCTAGGCAGTTTGCTAGATCGCGAATTTCATTCTTTTTGCATGTTTGAGAGAACAGCGACTGAGGGATCGTCAGAGTCCAAAGCCACTCGGGTGTTGAGATCTGGGTGGCATTTGGTTTTCTTGAGTCAGGGTGTAAATCGGACAAATCAACAAACTTACCCCGGTTTGCTAGTTGATTGAGTATTTGCTGGTCGACGTATGGTAAAAACAAGTCTGCAGGTGGGATGATAGGAGGAACTGCAATGCTGGCATTGTTCATCATCGGCATCGCCTGTGTCGCAGTGTTGATACCGGAAGCGGAAGTGAGAATGCCCTCACCGGCGAAACGTTGTATGGGAGCGGCCATGTTGGTTGCGTTGAAATGACCCCCGGTAGCAAAACTTTGTTGACTAGGATTAGCGTGAGCTAGCGATGCTTGGCTTGTAGTAGCTGGAAGTTGTTGAAACATCGAATTGTCTTGATGAGCGGTATTAATGTGTACGATCGCATTATGTTGACTAGCTATTGGCAAGGTAATCGGAAGGCTGTTATTTGTGAGAGAGTCAGTTGGCGTCGAACTTGATGGCGTTGTTTGGCTTGGGTCGCGTGATGACACGAGGCTTGCCGACAGTTGTGGAGCAGCCGGCGGTTGCGAAATATTATTCGGCTGCGTTTGACAGTTTCCTTGCTGTTGTAGGCTACGAACGAGATCTGCGAGTTCGCTTCTGCTAACTGTGATGACATCGCTGGGGAAATTCGTGGACTGTAGTACAGTGGGATCTCCATTGTGTGCTGACGATTCTTGCGGAGGTGAGTCAGTTACGTCTATGGTCGCAACATTTTGGAAGCGAGCTGGAGTACGACGATTTCGTTGAGACTTGCGACCGCCACGGCTGGTGTTAGATCTTCCGCGTCCTCGAGGCATGTTGGAACTGGATGTTGTGAAGAAAAACTGGTATTTGTGACAAAATGAATGGCTGAGATGCTTTAGCAAGGAATTCTGCTGAGACGATGTGTATCGTACGATGCGGCAAAATGAACTGATGCTTGAAAAGGATGCGAGCACGGATAAGCGAATGAACAGTCTGGTGTTAATTAATGTAAATCCGACTGAAGGACGAAATGTGAGCAAATATTGCATGAAGTACAATGTGGCATGGGAGGTGTCAAAATATGAAAGGGGGATGTCAGCTTGGTCAATGCATGTCATAATTGAGCATTAACACAGATTATAAATTATATTCATAATCATACTATAAAAGCACTGATGTGATTAATCAGAAAACAAGAGTATATAATCCAAGAGCACCAATTGGTATTGATTAGACAAAGTTGGATTGACATGTGGAACTCATACAGAATGATATTTGCCTGCATATCAACCTTAAAAGTTGTGATTTAACAAGTTGATTGACATATTACCTTCACTGCAATTTGTTCCCATCCATCCAGTATCACATACACAGACATAACCAAATCTACGATCATAAC